TCACTTCACTGGCTTCCAGTAACCGCTTGAATCCAACTTCAAGACACTGGCACTTGCGTACCATGCTGGGAATGGATCTGGTCCTTCCTACATCCAGGACATGGTTTAACCGTACTCCGCTCTGCATCTGCTAAACAGCTCGCTGCACCCGCACTGCGAGGGGGACCCAAGTTCCCATCAGCAAAAACACGTGGGTTTGCTATCCTGGCTCCAAAATGGTGGAATGAGCTCCCCATTGAAATCAGGACAGCAGAAAGCTTGCACATCTTCCGGTGCAGACTGAAAACTCATCTCTTTCGACTCCACTTCGAGCGATATAATTACTAACAAAGAATTGCTAACAAAGCACTTATAGACTAATAAAGGACTGGCTTATCTAAAGCCAGTTGAGTAGCACTTGAAATGTTTTAGCTCTATGAAACCTGATGTACTTATATGATTCTGTCTTCTTCAAGTTTGTATCTTGTTGGTCGAACGTACTTATTTTAAGTTGCTTTGGATAAAAGCCTCAGCTAGATGCACTGTAATGTAATGTGACATGTTTGGGATATACAAGGATATAACCCAAGACTCTTGCTTATTAACTGTTCATCTAAGCATATCAAGTCCCCCTAATATAAAAAGATAAGAGATGTCAAATGCATTATGTTGTACTTTGTATCCAATGTACAGAACCCATAGCTGTCCATGTGAACTACTGCAAAAGCTATTTATGTTTGTATACCTTTCTTGATATTTCCTGCTGCCCTGTGCTTTGAAGGAGACCACGATGCCTTGCTCTTCTCCCATCCTCAGGGACAGTTCATCAGGTGTCACAGAAAACATTTCCTCAGCATCACTGCACTATAGAAGGAATATAAGTGAGAGGGCAAATGTTTGAATGAGGCACGATAATGATGGGAGGAAACAAGGAGGAAGAGATGGAGAATAAAAGTAGCTAAATAGCAATGAATCCCTACTGTATGTTTCACAGTCTGAGCACAAAATGTCACAGAGGCTTACCCAAACCCCAGATCTGACTGGAAAAGTAAAGGTCAGAATTACCTTGAGTTTCAGCTGCACGTCAATGTTTCCAGCATTCTTTAATGGCAGCGTCTGTTGACTAGATTTACCCAGTAGAGCAGACAGACTGACAGTCTAGACAAAAGAAGCACACAAAGTATTTTACGGCCATCTCTACAGAGGCCAAGAAAAGCTGAACAAAGAACTAAACATGATGATACAAAAGTTAATACAAACTAAATTGCTTGTATTCATTATTGATCTAGTCATTTCATTTCCCAATGTCTTTTGACATCATATGAAACACAATCAACCCTTTTAAATGCAGTTTGAAATATCAGACCCATCACGTTAATAAAAATAAAAAGATGTAAAACAAATTCTCCATCTGCTTGCTGCTGTTTAAACATTTGGATGATACTCATTTTACAATTGCAAGATACCCTCTCTATGGCGAAGACTATCTCACAGTTAAGTTGAACTAAATAACCTATTTTAAAGTTGCGTAAGATACAGGCTTACTGCTCTTAAACAGACATATTAAGTAACTGATTAGACTTATTGTCCAAATTGGTAAGTATATTCCATGCATTTTCTTTTTTTTTGACTACTTTTTTTTCCATTATCTTTAAATATGCCTTGTTTGGGTAAAAGTGATTTCCAGTTCAATTAAATTGGCCAATGCAATTCAAGCTGGTGTATCTCATTAATCAGAGATACAAACATGCATAACAATGTGTTTGAACTGTAGTGGTGGGCAGAGATACAGTGTCAGTCAACAAAAAAAACATTGCAGTTTTACTACCTGCAGGTCTTTAGGAGCATGGACCCTTGCAGTTCCACATTTGGCCTTGAGGGGAACACTCCTGATCACATGACTAGGACCAGGAGAATCCACTTCAATGTCCACACGACCATTGTACTCATCAGCAGGACCAAGCTCTCCTGACAAGCACAGCCACACAAAGATAGGGTTAACAGAAAATATTTGGTCTGTAAGTACATTTAAAATAGTTTGTGTATGTTTCTGCTGATAGTCTTTAGTGTCATAGAACTCCAGGTGTACAATAATGAGAAATGCAAGGATGGATATTGGATCAAGTCATTGTTTTGCAAGTCACAAGTAATTCTCAAGTCTTTGCACTCAAGCCCAGAGTCAAGTCCCGATGGGCAAGTCCAAAACTTTGAAAAACAAGTCTTAAACGAGTCATTATGTGTTTTCACCAAAAAAGAATATAATATCTAAAACGTACACAAATGATTGCTTTTACACAATGTATTTATTTCTCAAACAAGTTGCCCCTGAGCTCAAAAATTAAAGAGTACCATAACACTAATACAAACAAAAACAATCAGTAAATGCATAGTTGTTCATTATTGAATTGCAGATCAAACTGCTCTTTATTCGTCATATTAATAATGTACTAATCAATTTTCTCTCTGCTGGTAAAGTAATGTGTTTTTTTCTATTTTAAGAGGGAACAGTAAGGTTGGGCTACTGTGACGGTTTGATTCAGAATTAGTTTAGTTTATAAGATCCCTGATGTTAAGTTGACCAGAATGTTTATTTCCACTGTGTACAACATGTTATAAAGGGACCCACAATCCATTTTTTTGTAAGGGATAATGTGCAGTGAGGTGGTTATTATCGGGAAAACGGTATAGGTACTTTAAGTATATTTAGATGCTAATACTTTTGTACTTTTACTTGAGTAACATTTTGAATGCAGGACTTTTAATTGTAACAGAGTATTCAAACACTCTGACTCTGGTACTTCTACTTTTATTCAAGTATAAGATCTTAAGTACTTCTCCCACCTCTGGCAATAAATACTGAGTGGGTACAACAACATTAGAACCCTGCTCTGAAAGATGTTTTCATTTTACAAATCCTGCACTCAGCTTTGCTTTCTCCAATATCATTGAAATGCAGCCAGAAGCTTCTTTTTCTGTTTTCGCTCATTTCTTGACTTTTTCCCCTACACGCTTAAAAAAAATAAAAAAAATAAAAAGTCATACAATTTGTGACCTCTGGCAGTTACTATAATAAAGTGTCATGTATCTAATCCAAATTGATTACCTGAAGTAACTGTGTACTTCTGAGGAGCCTTAAAGTGAACCCAGACCATAAAGCCCTGTGGATTCTGAAAAAAGAGAACAAAAGTGCAATTTGTCATGTTACTGATGAAGCAAATTCCACTGCTTACTAGCAGATACAGAGAATTAGAATTGTAAAACTATGTTACCCATACAGTGGGGCAAAAAAGTATTTAGTCAGCCACCAATTGTGCAAGTTCTCCCACTTAAAAAGATGAGGCCTGTAATTTTCATCCTAGGTAAACCTCAACTATGAGAGACAAAATGAGAAAAAAAAAATTCAGAAACTCACATTGTCTGATTTTTAAAGAATTTATTTGCAAATGATGGTGGAAAATAAGTATTTGGTCAATAACAAAAGTTCATCTCAATACTTTGTTATATACCCTTTGTTGGCAATGACAGAGGTCAAACGTTTTCTGCAAGTCTTCACACACACACTGTTGCTGGTATTTTGGCCCATTCCTCCATGCAGATCTCCTCTAGAGCAGTGATGTTTTGGGGCTGTCGCTGGGCAACACGGACTTTCAACTCCCTCCAAAGATTTTCTATGGGGTTGAGATCTGGAGACTGGCTAGGCCACTCCAGGACCTTGAAATGCTTCTTACGAAGCCACTCCTTCGTTGCCCGGGCGGTGTGTTTGGGATCATTGTCATGCTGAAAGACCCAGCCACGTTTAATCTTCAATGCCCTTGCTGATGGAAGGAGGTTGTCACTCAAAATCTCAAGATACATGGCCCCATTCATTCTTTCCTTTACACGGATCAGTCGTCCTGGTCCCTTGCAGAAAAACAGCCCCAAACCATGATGTTTCCACCCCCATGTTTCACAGTAGGTATGGTGTTCTT